GACCTTCCAAAATCCCTTAATTAAGGAGTATACCTTGAATCATACGAGGATCCCTGGTGTGATTTCAAGGTAGGTTCCCTAATTCCCTTATTATAGAGCCCTTATAGATACCTATAGTTCCTGTAAGGAACGTGGATTCCCGTAATGAGAGGATATTGCAAGGTCTGGTTCCTGTAGTTGGCGAACCGCCCCTCACCCTAAACCCAAAACCGCACACCGTAAACCCTGAACCGGGTGCTGGGTTCCTCGAGGCATTCCTTCAGGGGTTCCCTAAACCCTAAACCCTAAACTCTTATAAACCCTAAACCCTAAACCCTAAACCCATCAAAGGAGCCTTGAAAGGAACCCCTGTAGATCCCTTAAAGGAGCCCTTAAAGAAATCTCGGGGTGCCATGCGGGCTGGATTTTAGGGTTTAGGGTCTAGGCTTTAGGATTTAGGGTTTTGGGTTTGGGTTAAGGCTTACGGTTAAGGATTTTTGGGTCTTGGGTTGCTTTGGGTCCAGGCTTTGGGCTTAGGCCTTTAATGGTTCCATTCGGCTTGAGATGGTGACATGGAGGTCGGAACAATTAGCAACAGTACACCCAAGTAGCGCTGAATAACACTACTTACTTTAAACTGCCCAACAGCTTGTTCAAACTATAGAGACCTCTGTATTCAAGGCTTTAGATTTACGTGTAAGGTGTGAGTCGGTGTGTGTAGGTTTTGGGTTTGGGGTCTTCCGCAACGCAGAATTTTGGCACTGCAGCCCGGGCTTCCACCAGCAACCGCACGATCGTCACGGTATGGGGTTCAGGTTGAACAGTAAAAGCGCCAAAGCGATCTGAACATGGCCCTTGTCCTTGCACAGATCGAAGCCGTGTTGGCGTGATTGTTCTGCAAAACCTCGTTGGCACCAGCTTCCAAAAGCACGAGCGCGGCGCGATCTCAACAGTACCTCTTTGGCATGCGCAGATACGTGCGGTGTTGGCATCACAGTTCTGCTAAGCCGTGTTGGCCTTAGCCTCGAATAACACACTCCACATGGCCTCTGTCGCTGGCACAGATCAGGGCCGTGTCGGCGTCGTTGTTCTGCAAATCCTTCTTATTGGCACCGTCTTCCAAGAGTGCAACCACGATCTTAGCATGGCCTTATGGCATGCACAGACAAGTGCGGTGTTAGCATCACTACTTTGCAAGTGCTTGTTGGCACTAACTTCCAACAGCATATGCACAATCTCAACATGGCTTTTGTCACTTGCACAATTGTGTTGGCATCATTGTTCTGCATGTTGGCACCAGCCTCCAACAGCACACGCCCAGTCTCAACATGGCCGTGGAGATATGCAATGGCGAGAGCCGTGCTGCCGTGGGTGTATTCCAAATGCTGGTTAGCACGAGCTTGCAGCAGCACACGCGCAGTACGAGTACCTCCTCTTGCGCATGCAAGCGAAGGTGCTCGTACTGCGCAAGCAGAGCTGTGCAACCCTTCTTGTTCAATCCATTCATTCTCAAGTCCAGATTTGCGCCAGCTTCTGCCAGCAACCGTGCGCATCACCTCAATGTGGGCACCGAATAAGTGTGCAATCTCAACACGGCCGCTGGAGCACGCAGAACTGAAAGCT